TGGATGAAACTCGAGGGAATCTATCCAATCAGGCCTCATTACTGTTCCTCCCAAGAAATAATGTGAAATACGAAACGGGTTACGGTAGAAATCAACTGAATAACTTGAATATCTTCTACAATTTGCAACAAATTCAGTGTATTCAATGTTTCAATGCAACATCTTCAATGTTTCAACATATTCAATGCACCCGTTTCTATTTCGCACTATTTCTTGAGAGGAAAACACTCTAGTTATTACCCTGTCGCTTTCAAGTATTCAAAAGTTGCACAAGATGGGCCTGAGCTTGAGCTTGAGCTTGAGCTTGAGCTTGAGCTTGAGCTTGAGCTTGAGCTTGAGCTTGAGCTTGAGCTTGAGCTTGAGCTTGAGCTTGAGGTTGAGGTTGGGTCTGGCCGCATAGAAATAAATCAAAAAAGCTTGTAGATAAATTTTTGTGCTTAAAATCGTAGAAATCTAATGATTTGATCGTTTAAGCTAATCAAAACCGCTTTTCTGTGTATCCATTAAAGCTAAAATATTCAAAAGTTGCTTAAAATAGATAAAAAATGATAACACTTGTACGATATTTATTCTTGAATCTTGTACAATGTACAAATCTTGTACAATGTACAAATCTTGTACAAATCTTGTACAATCTTGTACAATCTTGTACAATCTTGTACAATCTTGTACAATCTTGTACAAGATCTTGTTGAACCCGGGAAAGATCGAAGAAGAAGAGAAACGATGTGAATGTTGATGGGAATTTCTTAAACAAAGCAAAGAAAAGGGAAAAGATTGGAATGAAAAGAGGGTGTCTGTTCGATTGAAGGGAGGGGTGAGACTGATTGAGAGATGGGCGGGAGTGACGCGACGGGTGCAGTGTCACCCCCCAATGAGCCATGGGAACAGACAGAGAGTAGAACTTGCAGAAAGCTCTCTCGGTCCTCTTATCTACCATCGCCTGTGTTCTGTTCGTTGATTCGACTGATAGTAGACAGTTTTTTTCTGTCTTTTGATCAGAAAATGTTTCATATTCATCCTAGGCTTTCCTATTGAAAATTCGCTGCATTTCAAACTTCTACTTGATCGTTATAGAGTTGTAGAATTGTAGAATTGTTATTTTGTAGAATTGTAGAATTGTAAGAGATGAAATTGTTTAAAAAATAGGCTTATTAGGAATATTTCCCCTGCTAAACCACTAAAAAACGGGCAAAAAAAAGATTGATCATTCTCATGTATAAAAGAACGAAATCTAATAAGTGAATCTTTCTAATGCTTTAATGTATTCATTGGACGACAATTTCGAATCTTTCTTACAACTGACAATTTCGCTTAGACAACTTGAACTATAAGCAACTTGTTCAAATCCAAATCATAGCCGAAGAATTCAAATCCAAATCATGACCGAAGAATTCCAATTCAAATCCAAATCAAAGCTAGCAATATTTGAATAGAAAAAAAAAACAAAAATCAATCAAAAAGCAATCAAAAAGCAATAAAATCATTAATTTCAACAATGGCAGAATCTAAAATCGTTAATATTTCTATAAAATAGTCAATATTTCATTTGCAGAAAATAGCCAATATTCTCTAGAAGTTCATTGCAACCATGAAGTTAGATAGAAAGAGCTCGAAAAGATTTCGAGAGAAAAGCAGTGAAATGGATGGATGGATGGATGGATGAGAAAAGATTGAAAAGAAAAAGGAAAAGGAAAAGTCGATCGAGAAATGGGCAAAGAGACACGTGGTTGGGACAGGCGGGGGGAAAAGGGGTGGAGAAGGGAGAAGAAAAGATTGAGGCTGGCTTCTTCCTGGATCCTGATCCTCATAAGCTCTTTACCTTCGTTGAAATGTTGGCTTTCTTCATTTCTAGAAATGAAGAAAGCCAATTTAATTAGTAAACTGTCCTGGTCATCGAATTTTTCAAAATCTAATTGCACAAACCAATGGACTTTTTGAGCTATTGGAATTGATTCCACTTGGAGTGCAAAGCCTTCGGAAAAATGCCAAATTTGGACAATAAATTACAATAGTTAACCTTAGCTGAAATTGAAAATGTTTTAAATTATCGATAGAATTGATCTATTGATAGAATTTTCAAATTGTCTTTTAGAAAACTTTCAAATTAACACCTTTCCTGGGCCCTGGGCCAGCTCTGTCCTGGGCCAGCTGTCCTGGGCCAGCTCTGTCCTGGGCCAGCTCTGTCCTGGGCCAGCTCTGTCCTGGGCCAGCTCTGTCCTGGGCCAGCTCTGTCCTGGGCCAGCTCTGTCCTGGGCCAGCTCTGTCCTGGGCCAGCTCTGTCCTGGGCCAGCTCTGTCCTGGGCCAGCTCTGTCCTGGGCCAGCTCTGTCCTGGGCCAGCTCTGTCCTGGGCCAGCTCTGTCCTGGGCCAGCTCTGTCCTGGGCCAGCTCTGTCCTGGGCCAGCTCTGTCCTGGGCCAGCTCTGTCCTGGGCCAGCTCTGTACTCTGTGTCTTGGGTCTTATCTTTTTAGAACAAAAAAACACCAGATTTCTACTGCATCAAAATATTTTGCTAATAGCTGCTCTATTTTGCTGCTAATAGCTGCTCTATTTTGCTGTTAATAGCTTCCAAAAACTTTGTGGCAAGCCTGGGATTGGCTTTTTTGTTATTTAGCTTGTTCAGAACTTGATCAAATCAATTTAGCTTTATCAGAATCAGAAAAAACTGGTTCGGGATATTTCTATAGGAATGATTTTGATTCAAAGCTTGAGTTTAAACTTTGCCAAGTTTAGATCTTTTTTAAGGCCAATCCAAAGCCTATTGAAGGAAATCTTGTTCGGCTTTAGCTCAAGTTAAGCTAAGCCATAGCTTTCAAGCGTTTTGTATGACTTTTGGCTTTGAAACAACTCTACCAATCTCTATCAAGCAACTCTACCAGAACTCAGAGCGCAAATTTCCGAAGTTACAAATGAATCTAGTTCTAGAAATTTATAGGTTAAAAAATATAAAGATAGCTTTAAAGATAGCTCATTTAAAGAGAAGCAAAATATAAATTAATTGAGAGAAAAATATAGACGAGTTCGATATTGAAAAAAGAACAAAAGAGAAGATTGGGAGGAAAGAAAGGGGAAATATAGGAAAAAGAGAAATATAGGAAAAAGTTGGAGTATCCGAGAAAAGGAGGGACTTCACCCGGGTGGACCCCTTTTAGTCCATCCCCCCTGGACCTTACAGCCGATGGATGAAGAGAGAAAAGAACAGATAGACATGCAGAGTGTAGGAAAGGAAAGTAGGAAAGGAAAGAGTAGGAAAGGAAAGAGTAGGAAAGGAAAGAACGCTAATACAAAACGAATTACAGATAAGACATTTTGGGCTTAAGCTCGAAACGAGTTGGTCTATCACATTTGAGCAATCGTTGAAGAAAGTTTTTTCGGTGCTAAGGGGAGCACTGAAAATTTGCTTAATTACATCAATTTGCAATTATCAACATCAAAATCAACACAGCAATGCAATTGCAATCAACATCAACATCAACATCAACACTTTGTTGATTTTCACTCTATTTTTACTATTTATTTTAACAACAACATCTTCCCAATCAAAATCAAAACAACTATTGCGGCAATTGTGGCAATTTTCAATAGCTTAAACACTTTTAACTCTAACCTTTTTGCTGCAGCGACACCCGCCGTAACTAAATAAAGAAAGTAAGTAAAGTAAATCAAAAAAATAAAAAAAGCGCTCGAAAATTTGTTAAAATTGTTAAATAAATAGAGAAGTTAAATAAAAATTGATGTAATTATGCAAATTTTGAGTGCCCCGCCCTCTAAACTCCCATAGCACCACTTTTTCTTCTTTATTGCAAGAAAAAAGCTAAAAATTATTGTAAAGGAAAAAACTTGAATGTTCGAAAACACATTTCAAATCATGAATTCATGCTGTTACTGTAGCACATTGAGGAAAATTGGCCTCTCCGTTTAGTGTTTTCGGAAAAGCGCGCTTCACGGTAAAAAAACCACCATAACTTTGCATTCTATAAAGTTTTTGAGAGTGGAAAATCCGAATCTGGTTCCGAAAACTTTTGGTTAGTGTTCTCCAAAAAGCAAACTTTAGAAAAAGTTACCGTGCCTGACTTCCTTTTTAATGAAAAGCTAACGTATCCGGCTTTAAAAAAGTTGCTAAACGATTTTGAAACATTTTGAAACATTTCTTATGATCGTTTTACTGCTGAAAATTAGCCCATCCAATTTGTTTTGACAAAAAGGCACAGATTTTATTACATTTTTATGAAGGGGAGAGCGGAATGAAGTTCAAGTTCAATTCTATGAGCAGACAAGCAAAAGGAATGCCTCAGAAACGTACGCACTATCCCTTTTCCCCTTTGTTTCGTGGTTGTTTAGATCCAAACCATTATAGCTTTTTGCATCCGACTATCTAATTCGACGTTCTGCAGAAACAAAACTGTTCTCTTCAACAAAAACCTAAAAAAGTTATTGTGGTAGTAACAAAATCCCTTACCTTTCCATTAAAATTTTTTAAGGTCCGTAATATTGAAGCCTTGCCTCATGACATCAGCAATAACCTACCTAAAAGCTTTTATAAGCATATTTAGTCTAATTTCCATATATTGAACAAGTAGAAATATTCCCATTGCCCGCGAGTACGTTGCAAAAATAAAAATGTGAAGTTTTGAACGCGAAACAAAAAGCAGCCAGAAAACTTTGAAAGGTTTATACCAAAATTTTTAACAAGTACAGATATTCAGTTGAAAAGCTGAAATTCTAAAAAGTTCTGTCGTAATTTGTCAACGCACAAATTTCTCTTTGCTCATTTCTCTTTCCCCGTTCGTCCCGCAACATTTTTTGTTGCAGCTTTGTAACTTTAACGCCCGTTGATTATTTGGCAAACTATATTGCAGTAGTTCACTGTTTCATTCTTGCTCGGACAGCCTCAGCAACTCTTAGCAACAAGACCCCTAACGCGCCCCCACCACTAATGAATCCCTAAACCTTTCTCATTTCCCTCTTTTGTTTAAATTTACTAGTTTATTTGCAATTGATGATAACGTTTTTGATTAAGGATAGCCAAACGAAGTCCAACAAAAAGCCGACAGAAGTGAATCGCTCACTAGGAAAAAAACGAGCGTTGACGGAATCAAAGGTCCATCAGAAGTCGAAATTTACAAGCGATGTGGAGAATGCGGCTATGTTGGATAAGGTATGTTGTTTAGTTTCTAACGCTGTTTATACATTTGCTTAACTTTCCTTTGGGGGTCAATTGCTATTTTTTTTAGTATTTCAAACGTTTATTTAGCAACGAAATACAGAACGCGCGATGGAGCCGAACGATGAAGCCGCGATGATTGAGAAGCCGAAAGTACTTCAGGATGAATGGTTTAACTGTCAACGAGCTGAGGTTTGTTAGTTTCATTATCACAGGCAAACTCTATTTAGACAGTTATTTTTCGAGCAAGAGATGCGAAACTTGAGACGTAGAAAGAACTATATTGAAAAGCGACGTTGTAGAGCAGGTCGACATTCTTTTGTTGTCTTAATTTTATTGTGTATTAGATTGTCGATGCAGTGAATTCGCTATTTTTTCCTATCAAAGACAACAGATTACGTGGAAGAAGTGGATCCAGCCAAGCAAAATCTCTTACTTTTCAACAAAGTCGATATTGTTGTCAAACGAGCTTGTGGATGTCTGAGCTGCTTACTTCCGCGGACAAACCATTAACGCCGTATTCTAGTCAGCCATGGGTGAGCTGGAAAAGATTGGGGAAGAAAAACGCGACACTTTCAAACGATCTGGGTGCTCAAAGTGGTAAATTGTTTCTTCAGTTACATTTTGTATCAATGGTTTTAGTTGTGTGTATGCGATTGTCCGAGACTGGACTCGACATTGGTCAAGGATGTCGTCGGTGGGAAGATATTATGGATCGCCTCGCCTACTTGTAGAGAACAAGAATACATCGATGAACTCGTTTATGCCTCGTCAGTGTCAGGAAGAACGAAGAGAATGGGAGCCGTTGTCAGCCGTTCAATTACAAGAACTGGAGAAACCCTTTTACTTGACAAGAAGACACGTGATAAACAAGTCGACTATGGGGACATCGGCTCTGCACATATCAGAACGTCGAGAGCTCTAGCAGATGTATATGAATCATTCCAAGAGCAAAACATCATCAATAACAACAGAATTGCTATCTAAGAAACATTTCAACAAGAGAACAAGGAGAAACTTGGACGAGTTGACACTTACGTTTGAATGCTTTTGTTTTTTCTTTGACTTTGATCTAAATGTGAGCAATTATCGTTTTTGAACTATCATTCTCTTCTAACTTTAATGGGTCTTTATTGTCTAATTTTCTTATTTACAGGTACACAACAATGGGCAAAATTATGAAGTCTGGAAAAGTGGTCCTCGTTCTGAGGGGCCGTTACGCTGGAAGAAAGGCCGTTGTTGTCAAGACTTACGACGAGGGCTCAACTGAACGGGCATACCCACACGCGCTCATCGCTGGAGTCAACAAGTATCCGAAGCAGGTGCTTGCTTTTATTGTTGTTGTCGTAAGAATCTTTCTATGATCTAGCTTTTAATGTGGATATGAAACTAAACAAGTGATTGCTGGTTCAAATTTGAACCTTCAGTAATAAAAGTTTTTGTTTGGGTAGAATGTCAACGATTTTGACTAGCTTTTAAAGTTCTAAATTTTGAAAATGGAAGTTCATATTTAGATAAAAGATTTTGCAATAAAATTCAAAGCCAACTATGCTGAAGACGTCATAAATTGTTTTTTAGATCACCACTCGTATGGGCAAGAAGAAGCAGGAATCGAGAAACAAGCTGAAGCCCTTCCTGAAAGTCGTCTCCTATTCGCATTTGTTGCCTACACGATACACTTTGGATGTCACATTCGAGAAGGCTAACATCAACAAGGAGGCATTAAAGGAGCCCGGGAAGAAGAGACGAGCGTCGCTTGAAGCAAAAGCGAAATTCGAAGAACGATACAAGACTGGAAAGAACAGGTTACACTTTATCTTGTTTTCTCCTTTAATTATTTAAATTACAGATGGTTCTTCACAAAGCTTCGCTTCTGAATTGTTATTGTTATCTGATAAATTTTTGTTTTATTTTCTTAATGATAAATCCATTACAACTATTAAAGCTAAAAGACTAGCACTCAAAGTAGCTGAAAGCCAAGATGCGTGGCAATTTGGGACAAAACCAGGAGTCTCTAAAAGATCAAAGAAAACTTATGATTAAAACTACAGTATCGGATATTAACTTATACTTACAATAATTAACATGAATCAAAATTTTCCAGAAAGATTAGATTTTCCGACGACCTTAACTTACGGGATTTGTCATTTATTTTAAAAAAAGTAAAATCAAGCTGCATTCAAAAAGTTTAAACTTTGTATCTACTAATTTAATAATTCTGATTTCAAGAGTGAAAGCCGTTTGCCGATAGCTCTCTTAGTTTTCAAGATCTGAAAACACGGTTTGTAAAGGAAAGACTACATTTTATTGTAAAAAACCTGCAACAACAACTTAGTTTTCCCTGTATGTTCAAGTTAGACCTAAAAAGACCACAAATTAAGAAGCAAAAAAGGTGTTCCAAGCGTGGCTTCGAGAAAACCCGGAAACTTGGAAAAGAAACGAAACTGGGAAAGATCACAAACTTTTTCAAAATATGAAATGGCGACAAAAAGAATACACTGCATGTGGAGAGAAAATAAATTTTGAATAAATTACAAATTTGCATACGAAAGATCGATTACCAGTTCAATTCGATTTAGCCATCTTTTTCGCCTTCGCAAACTTTTTCATTATTTCTACGTGCGTTCCTATAAAAGTTGTCATGCAAATAACGATATCCCCGTCGACTGAATGTCTCATTCCAAGGTTTGTCATTAAGCTTTTTACAACAATATTTCATCTCTTTAGCCTACGAACCTATCTTGATGCCGATTTAAACGATCCACCAATTTTTGCAACAAATCATTCTCTCGTTTTTCGTGCAAACTCTCAACGGTTTGTTTGGGAAATGGGGGAACTGGTCAAAAAAGCGCCGCCCAAAATAATGCGTTTGAGATTAAGTTTATTTGTGTTTCTTATTTTCATTGGATGTCGAAAAAAAAATTGGCTATCTGCTGAATTTTTTGAAACCGTTTAGGACAAATCTGGGATGAGAGAATTTAAAAAAAAAAAGAAGGACTCAAAAAGAGATGAATTGAGCTTTTCTCGACACCAATTCTATTTTAAGTGATCTCAAAGTATGCAAAATGTAGATAATTTTATTCTGCATTCGATAAGAATAAGAAACACATAGAAACTTAACCGCGGAGGGCCTATTGGATCTTTACGGTTAACGGCGGGAGCCATTTTTTTCGCCAACTTGAAGCTTATTTTTAAGCATCTTAAACTTGTCAGAGCAGGAAGTTTTAATAAGCTTTAGATAACGAGCAAGCTTTAGCAAAGCTTTAGATAACGAGCAGCTTTAGCAAAGCTTTAGATAACGAGCAGCTTTAGCAAAGCTTTAGATAACGAGCAAGCTTTAGCAAAGCTTTAGATAACGAGCAGCTTTAGATAACTTAGAACGTCAGCTTTCAGAAACTATTTGTTTTATCAAAAGTTATTAACATGACTTATATAAAATCGGGCTGCAAGTTGGTCAAAAACTTGTCCCCCGCATCGCTACCCCCGTCGTTAACCGTAAAAGTCCGGCTATTTTTGCCGTGATGCTATTTTGACCAACTCCCGAAGAATGATTGCTACTTTTTTCTTTCAGTTTTCGTAGTATTGTTGCTATAAAAATTATCAATCGCAAAGCTTTACCACAACACGTTGCTGAAAAATTTCTGACTCGAGAGCTAGACGTCACTAGAAAGGTATTTGGTTAACTTTATTTTACTTCATCATTTTATTTTTAGGTTAGACATCCTCATCTTCTCAAATGTTTGTTAATCAACTCTTCTTCGCCATCAAAAATCGTAAATTTGCTTTGATTTTTCCATAAAACTTTGGCTTAGGTGATTGTTTCGGAATATTGTGCTCGCGGGACACTTTTGCAAATGATTCTCACGGAAGGAAATATTAAAGGTAATTTTAAAGGTAATAATTATATTAGGTCGAGTACTAAGCCTCTTGTTAAAACTTTCTTTTCTCGATGAATTCCCGCTCAGCTTACGGTTTGCGCAAATCACAAATGTTGATTGACTATTTCTACTCATTTCTTTAGCAAGTTTCGGCCCGTTTAGAAGAAATTTCAAGCGGAAATCCTTATTTCTCATAAAATTCTGTAATCAGATGTAAAACAAAAACGGCTGAACGAAACAAGCTGAAATTTTGGTTACCTGTCTAACTTTTTACGCTCGATCTTTTTTCTTTTGACATCACAATTGGTTTCTGTGGTAAAAAGTGTTCAAATTGCGTTATCGATGTCGCATTTTTGGTCACTAATCTCATCTGTAGAAAAGCTAAAACTGCAAGCTTTTCCTAATTTCTAAAAAAACATTTTGTAGAGAAAAAACAGAGTTTTCTGAGAGCAAACTGTAACTAGATCGGTTTATTATCCATCGAGAAACGAAAGTTTTAACACCTAGGTGCAAGAATTAGTACTCGACCTAATACCTTAACTGACATAACTCCTTTAGAAACACCGACTGGAGCGCGGCTGTTCAGGCAGCTCATCGAAGCAGTGCAGTATTTACATGCGAGAGGTGTTATACACAGGTTTTTTTTTCCATGATTTCCAATAAATAATCGATACTAGGGACATCAAGCTTGAGAACATCTTTCTTGATGCAAACGGCGACCTTAAATTGGGCGATTTCGGTTTTTCTCGACAATTTGAGAAGGGACAAAGGTAAAATTTCTTTGGTTGATGTTTGAAATGAGAGTGAGTCTTAGATCGACTTCTTTCTGCGGCACGCGTCCCTATTCGGCTCCTCAAGTTGTCACATATCAGCCCTATGATGGTTATGCAGCAGATTGGTATGGATTTGTCGGATAAAACAAGAAAGGTTTAAAGATTCGGTACTTTTTTGGTTGGGAGGGGCCACTTTTATCCTGGCTTAGTTGGATCTAATGTTTTGAGTAGTTTTATTGATACCTTTTATTTATTGTAGGGTAATCAAATATGCTTAATAGATTGGTGACTATTTTAGCAAGTTTTTGACAATTCTAGCAATTCTAGCCTAATCTCATGTACTTTAGCCACCAAACGCTACCTCAAAGCTGCTTACACTTGAAAATCAAATAAAAGCGGCAATATGAAAATTGAAACATGTTGTAAATGCTCTAAAAGTTTCTAAAGGAGTTATGTCAGTTAAGGTATTAGGTCAAGTACTAATTCTTGCACCGAGGTGTTAAAACATATTTGATTACCCTAGAATATGTAGATAAAAGGTATCAATACAACCACTCAAAACATTAGATCCAACTGAGCCAGGATAAAAGTGGCCCCTCCCAACCACCAAAGTACCAAAAATTCAGGTATTCCGTCGGAATTGTACTCTACACAATGATTGTTGGAAATTGGCCAAAGGTCTGCACACATTTTTTAGGGAAACTGAAAATTGTGTTGTTTAGGAACCGAAATTGAATGTTGCTCTAAATTTCCCGCCTGATTCGCCAACGCATGCTTGTCGCCGTTTAATTGCTCGTCTATTAGGTATTTTTTTAAAATAGCAACATTTATTCTTTATTTTAGATGATGATGAGAATCGTCGTGCCGGATTTGAAGAGTGTCTTTATTCTGGTTTGTTTCTATTTTAGACATGGGCGGCAAGTCACTTTCTGCGTTTTAGCAAACGACTCTTGTTTTCTAAAGTGCAAAATGTCATTGTATCCACGCTTTAGAAAACAAAAGTCGTTTGCTAAAACACAGAAAGTGACTCGCCGCCCATGTCTATCCCATTTCCTTTCAATGTTTGTTCTAGAATGGCTAGCACCTCAATCGAATTGGATGTTCGCCGACGCCAACTTTGCCTACACAGTTCTTCAGCACACTTGAGAAGCCGTTTCAACGTCAAGATTTTTTCTTTAAAATTGTTTTTGGTGTGGAATACTTATTGGGGTTAGTGCGATTATTTTTACGCAGTAAATCTTTTTTTTGTTGTTTTCAATTTTTTTAGCAGCCACAAGAAGTTAAGAACGCACAAATGGAAAATTAGTAATTGAAACTAACAAGCTTTTAGACTTTGTTGCATTTTTACACCGATTTTGCCTCGTTGTTGAAGAAGCTATGAAATTTGCGCTTCCATACGAAATAATGACATGGGAAACAATTTAACTTACTGTATTTACTCTAATAGAAGAGCATGCTCTTCTATTTTTCAACCCCCTCTTAAAGTTTCTTCTATTTTTCAAAAACTTTACAAGATCAATGAAATAAATGGCGGGGCTCCGCCAATTTCTTAAAATTATTTGCTCTGTTGGATTAACTTTTTAACTTAAAAAATAACTTTTTTTAACTAGAAGTAACTAAAAAATAACTTAAAAAACGAAAGCAATCTTTCTAAAGTCAATTTATTTAAAGTACAAATACCAATAAATTGACAATGAGGTAACACAAATCATGAATCATCAAAAAATACTGTCCTCGATTTCATTGCCGTTAGAGTCGCCGACTTCAATTGAGACATTACTCTCGTAGTCCTTGTTTTCCTCGTCTTCACCCAGGTCAATTTCGTCGTTTCTGCTTTGAAGAGTTGAGTTTGATGTCGTTTTGCCAAATTTAATGTCAAATTTTTCGTTTTCTCTTGAATCAGTCTCGCTTTCAGCCATTGAGCTGGCTGCTGCTTGTCCGTCAGATTTCCCCCTCCGTCTTTTACTCTTTTCAACGATTTTCCCTTCTTGTCCCTTCTTGTGATATCCATTTTTGAATCATGGCTTGGTTCACTCGAAACTTCTTGCTCGCATCGTCTCTTGAAATCTTCTTGGCATACTCGATTGCCTTCAGCTCTTCAGCTTGAAATCGATCGTATATACTTTTCGCTTTCTTCCCTTTTTGTCCAGCTCCTGATCGTAATTATTTACAGATTCGTGTCTTGACTCAAGGTTTGGATCTTTTTCCGGTTCCACCTTTGCATTCTCCTCATGCTCTCCATTTTCCAAGAAACTTAAGAAGGGGGAGCACGGGCAAATTAGTGCATTTTATTAGTTGTGTTTCTTCTATTGGAGACTGCTCTTCTATTAGAGTAAATACGGTACTACGAAAAGGAGGTTCAGCTTTTGCGTGAATTAACGAGCCAAAAGAATTAGTTTCATTATTCAAACTGCACTCCTTATCACCATTATTTCAGTTAAAGATTTCTATTGGACGGCCTGAGTAGCGTACCCAATCCTCGTTACTTTCGATGTCTATTGTCTTCTTTTTTCTTATTTCTTATTATTATTTGGGTCCCCGGTTTTCTAAGTAATATTTTAGGGTGTATGAGCATTTCCTTACTGCCTTCTTGCTGTCTACGCAATTTCTGTACAAAGATGAAGGGCGATCGAAAAGTTCAACGAGGTCTGTAAATGCTTTTTATTCTTTAGCTTTTTAATTGTTGGGCAATAAGGCAATAATAATAAAATATAGTTAACAGCCCCTGTTAAAATATAGTTACCTAGTAGCCTAATAGGCGAATTAAGACGGCTTTTATTTAGTATTTGACCTCTTACGACGCTCCCATTTTAGATGGATCGGTGATCGTTGGTTCGCGTGCATCTAGTTGTGCTTCAGGCGTTTCATTTGAATCTAAAACAAGGTTACTTTTTGTTTTACTTGGGAATACGCTCGAAATTTTTCCTCTGACTATGTGGCTTGCAAGCTACAATGGCTAATACCTAACTAGAAAATTTGTGCTCATTTTGGATTTGATATTGCAAAATAAACAGCAACAGTGGTTTATGTTTTGTCTTTAGAATGGCGAATGCGGCAAGTCATGCAACTCCGACAACTATAATCAATGCTACTTCGCGGCTTCAAATCGAGGCTCAAGAGGTTTGGGGAAGAGTTTATGTTATCAGCTAATCGTAATCTTTAGGCTCGCACTAACAAACCGAATTGGGGATCTCAGATGATCCTGCAAGATGACTACAACTTTATAACGGCCTATGAAGCAGCAAAGGTAATTAGTTTGTTTGAGAAAAATATCAGTATATCAGTATTCAGGATTCAGTAAAAATATCAGTATTCATTGCAGACCTTGTCTGATCCTGTATAATAAATAAACTCAATAATTTTGAAAAGAAAAGGCCGTACATCAAATCACCGACATTTATAACAGAATTTCCATGAAATTAATTCGACTTCAATCTTTAACAGCTTTCTTTTCAGAACAAAGCAGAACGGGACGCTGTTCTTGAAGCTAACAATGAAAATGGACAAGCAGCGAGAACTTTCGTTAGTCTGATCAACAATATGGCAAAGGAGCAAAACGTACGCTATGTGCTCGCTTTACTTGACGATATGCTACAGGTATTTTTTGTAGTTGATAGACCATTAAAGTGACTCTATATACCGTAAAAGCTCTAATAGAAGCACCCCCTATAGGAGCGTGCTATCTAAGTTTACTCTCAAACAAACGCTCATATCTCAGCACCAGTACGTCATTTTCTGCGCGCTTGGGTATCTAATTAAAGTAGAGAGGATGGGTGATTTTTTTGAGATATAACACATATTTTTAGCATTAACTAGCGCTTAGAAAAAAAAAATGATGAAAAATCTGTTTTTTTGCCACTTTGGCGGTGAAAATAGGCTCTTATTAGAGCTTTTACGATATATCTATTTGAAACACACTAGGGAACGTAGAATAGCTTTCAGCTATATTTTTACGTTTTTACGATAAATTCCTTAAGTATTAAAGATGCTGTTTGTTTTTATTATAGGAAGACAAGGAAAGAGCGGAAATTTTCCATGATGCTGCACGCCGTCAGAAGAAAACATCGTGGCGATGGTTTACACAAATACTTCAACATAAAGATAACTTCATTGTAAATCAAGTATGCTTTTTCTTTTGAGTAAATTATTCTTTTCATAGATGAGTTCAATTATTGCCAAGCTTGCTTGTTATGGAAGCGCTTTGATGGATGAGGACGACCTTAACTCTTACTTCGCTTTCTTGCAGGATCAACTTAAAAATCAACAGGTGAGCATCTTCCTGTATCATAGTTTTTAAAATTTTAGGATAACGAATATATGAACACGACGGCTCGTTGTTTACAAATGATGTTGAGAATCGATCAATATCGCACCCCGTTTGTTCAACAAGGAGGTGTGCAAGCTTTGATGACTGCACTGAATGAAAAAACAAACTTTCAGGTATTTCTCGTTACAAAAAAAACGGCTAAAATGCGATTTTACTATGAAGAAAAAGTTTAACGTTGATGTTTAACCGTACTTTTGAGTTAGCAAAAACATAAATGAATAGTTCTTAAGTATCTAGTAAATAGTGATTGTTCTTACATTGCGTTTAGTTACAATATCAATTAATCTTCGCGATTTGGTGTCTAACCTTCAACGTCAAAATTGCAAGACGAGCTCCATCACTCGGAATTATTTCCGTTCTTGGCGACATACTTGCTGAAACCTCAAAAGAAAAGGTATACTTTTTGATCAAGACTGTAAATGTTGCTTTAGGTCATCCGAATTATTCTGGCGACATTCAGAAATATTCTCGAGAAAGCTGAAGAAAAGGAAATTGTTCGAGAAGCCGCTTTGCAAATGGTTCAATGCAAAACACTAAAAACATTGAAGCTCTTGGATGCTAAAAAATTCGACGATCCGGATTTAGAGGTTTGTCGTTTATAAAATTGTGTTAACGATATTTAGGAAGACATAAAGTTTCTCAATGAAAAACTTTATCTTTCGGTTCAAGATCTCTCGTCATTTGATGAATATGTTAGTGAGGTAAGCTGTTTATTGTTATATTTTTAAAAATTATAGCTAGTATATTTGGGAGACAGCTAAAGTCCGTCCTCAAATACAATATTCTAGGTGAAATCTGGTCGTCTTCAATGGTCACCCGTTCACAAATCAGAGAGATTTTGGCGTGAGAACGCAGAGAAGTTTAACGAAAAGCGATTCGATATGATTAAGTGCTTTTGTCGGTTGTTATTGGAATCACTAAATCTTTTTAGGATGTTGATACGGTTGTTGGATTCGCCCGATCCATTAACACTTTGTGTGGCCGCCCACGACATTGGAGAATATGTCCGATATTATCCGCGTGGAAAAGCGTAGCTTTTTATGAAGCAAATAGCACTATTGAATTTTAGGTTCGTAGAGGAAAATAACGGGAAATCAGCGGTGATGAAATTATTAGCGGCTGAAGATCCAAACGTTCAATATCACGCTCTTCTTGCAATTCAAAAATTAATGGTCCACAACTGGGAATATCTAGGAAAGCAACTGGAGAAAGATACACCCGAATCAATTGTCGGGAAGTAATACCTTTATAATTTATGTGGCTATTGTGTTCCTAGTTGCAATTAACTTTTAGCTATAGAACATTCTTGTGGTAAACGCTTTATGTATGTGGTTTATTTATGTATGTTTTATGTATGTACTCAAATTATGTGACTGAACTGGGAAAAATAGCGTTCTTTCATTTCACAAGTGTTTATTATTGATCGTTTCCCGTGCACGTTTCCCGAGCACAATTTGGGGTTATTTCAAGAGAAGAAGAGCAATAAGTGAGATCGAGAAGTTGAAAATCAAAAAGTCTGTGATGTAGAACTCCCTTATCTCTATTTGAATTATTTACTGCCCCTGTTGGTACTAAGAAAGTTGGGGGGGACCTAAATTTTGGTTTTTTCACGTTTTCTGGGGTGATCGATGACCCATAGTTGTTCCTGTGGAAGATAAATAAGTGAATTTTTCAGATTTTTCGGAATGCTTGATAGATTTTGGGCTGAGTGGGCGGGGCCTGTCATCCTGCCAGGCTCATTTGCATACAAAATGTGCGATTTGCAAAAAAAAGACCAGAGCCAGAAAAAAAATAAAACACTCTTTGTCATAACAGAATCTTAGTTTTGAATATATATATTTACTGATAAATTGCTCAAACCCTTTTCAGCCACTTTTCAGTGTACCATAAAATACATGATTTTTCACAATCTTGCAAATTTTCGACTCGAAATTCCTCTAATCTAGAGAAACTCGATAGACATAAAGCTTGACATTGGATTGTGAGAGAATGAGAGATTTCAGAGAGAGGCAAGAGAAAGGGGAAAGGGCCCAAAAGACCCCGCCCTGGGCCTTACAGCTGATGGGCCGTGGAGGGGGAAATGGATAGACACATAGAGGACCGAGTAGGCGAAAGAAAAGAACAAGAATGAGGCCGGGGGAATAGGCAACGAAATGCGAGCCCCAGACTCGGAACATTTGGTGAGCGGATGCGTTTATTTGCGATTCGATGTTTCTCATGCTCAAGAATTCCATTGGTGTCTTTAGCTTAGAAGGCAACTTGAAGCCATCGGTGTCTTTAAATTTGATGGCATCTTTTTGGCGTCATCTATAATTATGCCCAATTTCTTTATCAGTGCGGCAAATTTTTGGTCGTTTTGTTGAGCGTTTTGCGCTTTTCGGCGAGTTGAGCTGCGCAGCCACGTTCGATTTTAAGGATTTTAAAAGTGTTAAGCCTCTGATTAGTGACTAGGGTGCGCGCTCGTCTTTTCACTTAAAAATTTGTATCGTTTCATTCTTTTTGATTCATCATTTGATTGTTAAGCAATTCATAGATCTCTTTAACATCAAAATTCTACAATAATCCTTTAGAGGAACTTTTAAAGAACTGTATCCAATGCGGCATCGTAAAATCTCCTTCTACAGCCTTCTACAGTGCTCCTTTTTCTCAAATCATGTTTTCGAAAAGTGTGCAGCAAAAAAAAAACAACCTTAGCTTAAAGGCATAGAGCTTAAAGGCATTATTTATCTTTGTCAAACTTAAAATAGAAGTCTCTAAATATTGTTTTATTCTATCTTTTTTCATGAATAGCTTTGATATTTTAGACTATAGACTATTTTAGACTATAGACTATTTTGGACTATAGACAAGCATAGCATAGCATAGCAAATGAGTAAAAGTTGACCATATTTTTCCATAGGTTGCTTCGAAAAATAAATATTTGTTTGTTTTTTTTGTTTAATTTGTTTAAACTATACAGTTTTAGTTGAAATAATTGGAATAGAAAAAAAACGAACGTTCAGAAACGCAGAAAAAAATAATGAAAAGAAAAAAGGCAACGTAAAAAAGCTAAGCTTTAAAGCTTTAAAGCTAAAAAAGCTTTAAAAAGAGCGCTCTTTAGAAAACATGATTTGAAAGATTTGATTTGAGAGGCTTCCAAGGCAGTAAAGGCTTCCAAGGCAAGTAAAGGCTTCCAAGGCAAGTAAAGGCTTCCAAGGCAAGTAAAGGCTTCCAAGGCAAGTAAAGGCTTCCAAGGCAAGTAAAGGCTTCCAAGGCAAGTAAAGGCTTCCAAGGCAAGTAAAGGCTTCCAAGGCAAGTAAAGGCTTCCAAGGCAAGTAAAGGCTTCCAAGGCAAGTAAAGGCTTCCAAGGCAAGTAAAGGCTTCCAAGGCAAGTAAAGGCTTCCAAGGCAAGTAAAGGCTTCCAAGGCAGTAAAGGCTTCCAAGGCAAGTAAAGGCATCCAGATCTTGATCAAGCCAGGTTTTAAGCAATTAATTAAGCATCGAGAGGATCTTCTATTTGAAAGGATCTTCTATACATTTTGAAAGGAATACAGTCTATTCGACACCCGCAAACGATTTTTTCTTGAGCCTAACTCGCCGCAATCGAAACAAATCTTCATACTCTCTTCTTTTTTATGAAATTTAGACTCGTGTTTACACTAGATTTTTTATTGTTTAGTTTAAAACCAAAACGAAGCTATGTTTGAGAGATTCAAAGTTCTGTTTCTGGAAACCCTCAGCACGATTCAAAGGCCCATCCAGGCCAGAGCTTGGATTCAAAGGCCCATCCAGGCCAGAGCTTGAATTGGAAGGCCTAAGTCTAAGCCTATAGCTTTCATAGCTACAAGCTTGGATAAGCTACCGTTTTCTTAACTAATACCAGGGCTTGCCTTGCCTTGCCTAAGCCTTGAAAAGTTACCATATCCTACCATATGATTGCAAGCCTTTACTTGCCTTTCAAGCCAAGCCTTGACTTGCCTTTCAAGCCAAGCCTTTACTGCCTTGCAAGCCAAGCCTTGACTTGCCTTGCAAGCCTTTACTCCAGATCAAATCACTCACTTTCCTGACTTTGTATTTCTACTGTAATGTCAAAGTTCTTTCATATCTAAACAGTTTATTTAGCTTTTATTCGATTCTAACAATGAAGCTGATATCGAAACGTTAAAAACGATGGCCTCGTTGCGCAGTGGTTTAATCGATGTGCTCGTGCACGGGGATTGGCATCGTTTATTGGCAACACTCGATCCGACAGCGATTACGTTACAGGTAAATCTAGACATCAATTGATCCGAAAGGGAACTTCATACTTCAGATTAGTTCCAAAACAATATTTAGCCAAGGGCGGCCAGGGCTAGGCCAGACAAAGTTGGGCATAAGCCAGACAAAGTCAAAGCTTTGTGTTAACCTCTTGAGCTCTTTATAACTGTCGTTATAGATTGCAGAGAGTGGGCTGCCAAGAGTTCGCGATGATTCTGGAAAATTGGCAAGAGCAATTTGGTTTCAATTTTCGTTTTTTCTTCTATCTGGATATCACACTAGAATTTTTAGAATTCAGATTTTCGATTTTCATCAAAATTTTTGATTTTTACTTTTTTGCCTTATCGTTTGCGGCTTTAGGTCTACTAGAAGCCAAACTGACTTTAACGGAGTCTGTCTTACAGTCTAGAAGGCAATAGAAGGCATAGAAGGCAAGCACAGCAATTTCTAGGCAATCGAAGGCGATCATGGAAGCGATTTCGAGTCGGAGAAGCGCACAGTGAGAGTCGTGAAGTATGACGGGAATGGTTTAGGGATCAGTATTAAAGGAGGACGGGATAATAATATGGCAATTATCATTAGGTAAATCGTGTCTTCTTTTTTGCAAAATATCAACACTTTTTTTAGCAAAATCTTCAAAGGAATGGCCGCGGATCAAACTGGAGAACTCTTTGTCGGCGACGCGATACTGGCAGTCAACGGGGAGACATTGTTGTGAGCTTTGGAGGACGGTCAAAAGAACAAATATTTAATTGGGAATCTTTCAAAAATGGTACCAAAGTAGCAATTGAATGGTTTGATTATGGTGGCTTCTAGAAAAAGCGCCTTAGAAAACGCATCAGCCGACTCTATGACTGGAAAGTTCTACATCTCTACAGTAAACCCCAGACTACTGTACTGTAGTAACAGTACAGTACTCTGGGGCAGTTATAGAGCTGTTTTTCTTTCTAAAATATGTAGATGCTTTTTAGAAAATGCGTAGGAAGGGACTCTAGATCTGGCGCTCATAGTCAGCTCTTAGTCAGATCTTAAAGCCAGCTCTTAAAGCCAGCTCTTAAAGCCCAGCTCTTAAAGCCCAGCTCTTAAAGCCCAGCTCTTAAAGCCCAGCTCTTAAAGCGCCCAGCTCTTAAAGAAATGAAAATTGTTGGTATACTTTAAATTGATCAGCAGCAAGAAAAGCAGCAATTTCGCCATTTCTAGAGACGCCACCCACGACGAAGCGGTTCGCGCGCTGAAGCGAGCCGGCCGAGTCGTCGATCTGCATGGTAGGTTTATAAAATGTTAATTAAGAACCAAGTAAGGCTAATTTAAAAGTTAAACACAAAAAATTTTCAGTACAATACAAGCGGGACGAATTGTCGCGTAGAGAAAACGTCGTGGAGCGTATTGAATGGGATGACGATCAACGAGATCGGATTAGGTAAAAACTGAGCATTTGTTGGTAGACTTGAATCTAATCTAGAACTAGAACTAGATCTAGAACTAGATCTAGAGCTAGATCTAGAACTAGATCTAGAGCTAGATCTAGAACTAGAACAAAATCTAGATCTAGAACTAGAACTAGATCAAAATCTAGAACTAGAACTAGATCTAGATCAAAATCTAGATCTAGAACTAGAACTAGAACTAGATCTAGATCTATCTAGATTTTCTAGATATATATTAATAACTTTTAGAGCAATTGGTCTAAAGCTGGCCTATGTGGCTCGGGCGGGCTTCGACGCTGACGCTGAGGGTCGAATTTTTGAGGTGAGTCGAAAAAGTCTTTCTTTTCCTCTTCAAACTATAGACTATAAAATTTAAACAATCTACTGTTTATAAAAGGGAAATGTCTGTCCGTCCGTCTGTCTATACGCAAGAGTTCTCAGCTCCTCATGGGCCGATTTACATAATTTTTATTTTTTAGGCTTTGAAATCTATGTAGTTTTGCATCTCAAATTTCGTTTTTTCTAAAAGAACAAAAGTCACGACATAGCTGGGAGTCGAACCCGGATCATGTGGGCCGTAGACAAGCGCGCTCTCGACTGCGCCACGGTAACAAAGCTATACTGGATGTGAAAGTGAATAGCTGGATAGCTGGATGGCTGGATAGCTGGATGGCTGGATAGCTGGATGGCTGGATGGCTAGATAGCTGGATAGCTGGATGGCTGGATAGCTGGATGGCTGGATGGCTAGATTGCTGGATGGCTGGATAGCTGGATGGCTGGATAGCTGGATGGCTGGATAGCTGGGTAGCTGGATAGCTGGATATGATTTCTGGGTGGTGTCAAATAAGTAGAAACATTCAACAATTTAACTAGTCAGTTTTAAGTCTCAAATTGAGGCTAATAGATCCAATTTCAAGTCTTCAAATTCGAATTTCAGCTTAAAAGACAGCTTATAAAGAAAAACCTATGAAAGTGCAACATTTGAAAGATTTTATCTACAGATGAGATCCCCATCCGGTCGCTACTCGTTGACTTTTCGATGTGCTTCGTCGGTGGAAGCGGACGCGTGGTTTGAGTCGATTCACAGCTGCACACAGGCGCTTCTCACACAAGCACTTGCTCAGGTTGGGTTTTTGAAATCAAAAAGCAATCGTTGCATTTGTAAAAAGTAGTTAGAACTAGTAAAAACGATAAATCACTGTTTTCATAGAAATTTCCGAACTTTAGGTCAACCTGATGCTTGGCGGGAATCCGCAAGTGAAAATGATGGGATGGGCTTCGGAACAGGTAGACTTTTGGGGATTTGGGGATTTTTGTGAGTCAATTTTGTAACAAAGCAAGGCCTGCGTAATTTAGAGGTATTTTAGAGAGATAAGGAACCAAATTTAGAGAGATAAGGAACTAGATTTAGAGATAGGGAATAAGCCCTACTCTGAGCCCTACCTACGCCGGTTGGAGCTATCGATGTAGCTCATTGGTAGCTCATTGGTAGCTCATTGGTAAAGTGTTCACTCGGTTGCGGGTCCAACGATAGAAAACTATAGAAAACGACTTGTTTCTTTGCCTTATACCTTGTTGTGACTTTTCTTGTACTTGTCTTGTAACTTGTACCCAATTATCCAGGTGATCGAGGATGGGATTACCGTTTGGCGTCCAGTTTTCATCACACTCACCCAATCCGAGCTTCTCTTCTATGATGCCGTTCCACAATTGAAAGTAAGACTTTAAAACAATCACCACTACGACTACGGCTGTACTAATGACGATATTCTTTAACGATTCTTTAACGATCCTTTTTGTTTTTCGAATTCAGCTTTTTTAAGGACTTTTCTGTTTTAAACTATTAAAATTTCTACATTTTTCTGTTTTCTACAAAAATCTGTTAGCTCATGTGGCATTTTTGAGTCATTTTCCAGCCCTATAGCACTTCATTGAAAGCTTTTATGCAGAAAAGAGATTTTAAAAAGGCCTACTACGCAGGAGTACGCGATGATACTCTTTACCCGGTCTTCTATTCGAAGAAATACGGTAGTCAAGTTTATCTAAAAAATTTGAGAAGAATTCATGGCTTTGGTTTTTAAGAAATCACTTTGCAAACTTTTTCTACAAACTTTCTTGCCAACCGAATCGATTCGACTTTGGGGATTCCGAATCTGCTCTTAGTTTTTGGAGAGAACTTCGGAAAGAACTAGTTTTTGGAGAGAACTAGTTATTTAGCACAAAAGATCAAAAGGAAAATCGTTAAGGGGAGTCGAACCGAAAGGGAATTCGGCAAAATGAATAGATCGTCCTGTACTAGAGCCCCCTATCCAGCTACTAGCCCACATTTGGCAAACGGGAAAGATGCCTTTTATAGGGATCTTTCCCGATATGCATCTGTCAAAGAAGCTGTCAAAATCTTGTATGCTAAATACCTTGCGTTTCCGAAGTCCTCTGCAAAAAGTAAGAGCAGATTCGGAATCCCCATAGTCGAATCTATAAGATTGAGTGATCTATAAGATCTTACATAAGACGAGTCGCTACCCAAGTCTTATATAAGATCTATAAGATCTATAAGATCATAGCGAAAAGCGAGGATAACTTCATGCCTTTCCCTAGTCAGTCTGGCTCACTAAATGGCTTCAATTTCTACAGTAACCTTTTCTTCCGTCGCCTTTTCTTAAAGAAAATACTTTATATTACATTATCTTTATCTTTTTCTTTATCTTTCTTTTCTTTATCTTTCTTTTCTTTATCCCTCTTTCTTTATCCCCTTTCTTTAGGCTGAATGGGCTGAACCGCAAATCGCTAGGCCTCTTGTCGCTACCCGAGTCGTTCAAACAACCTCTCGAACAGCTCCCGTACTCAAAGGACTCTCCGATGTGATCTCGCTAAGGCTTAGAACCGGTAAATGCAAAGATTAAAGAGAAATTAAAGAGAAATTAAAGAGAAATTAAAGAGAAATTCGACAAATTCGATAAATTCGATAAATTCGACAAATTCCACAAATTCGACAAATTTCAGGCACTCAAGAGGGTGTTCGATCTCATATTCTCCGTGTCGAAACACACGCCGAACTTGCGCGCTGGGTTCGAGCACTTGTCCTTGGCACATATGAGGCTTGTGCAGATACGCAACAGGTAATCGAAAAATCGAAAATCGAAAATAGAGAATAGATAATAGAGATTCAAGATCAATATCAGAGCAAATCCAATTTACATTCAGGTCTCGTGCCCATGCATTTGGCGGGGTGAGAACGCGGAGCTGGTCCTTCACCTCGACTCCGGCATCTCGTTGCTTGGAGAAAATGGAGAGGTTTTCTGGGCGCATCCATTTGAAGCGATTAGGTTTGCTTTTAGAATTTGACTGAAAATACCGTCACTTTTGGTGAAAATGGCGGTATTTTGGCGTAAAGTCGCGTAGTTGTTACTGTTTTTTACTGACAAGGAATGGTCACAAGGCTGGTGGCTAAATGATAGTCATATACTGTAAGACCCAGAATTTTACGCTAATTCCGATGCTGCTATCCCTTTTGAGCTAAAAAACCCGATTGGTGACATAAAAATGACTGTTTTTAGCGTCTGGATGGGTATTTAAACGTATTTTCGAATTGAAAACAATGAGGACACAAAAATGACTGTTTTTTTGGGGTATTTATAGGCATTTAAACGTATTTTCGAATTGAAAACAATGAGAACTAAAATTGTGCAGAAGAAAACTGAGAAAAAGTTGGTTAGAAGTTGGTTAGAAGTTGAGAAAAAGTGATTTGTTACAGGGTTTTTCATAAGCGTAAATTTGGCGCAAAGGATTTTGGCGCAAATGAAATTGGCGCAATGGATTTTAGCGCGAAGGTTTTTGACGCAAAGGATTTTGGCGCAAATGAAATTGGCGTAAAGAATTTTGCCGAAAAAAACGTGACGCTTTTGCTAGGACCTCAGAAGAAATCGCGTGGACAAGCAGACCGTCCAACGGTCTTCGTGGCGCATTGCCAGAGCGTTGCCCTCTCGCTCCGAGCATCCGGGGTTCGATTCCGCTTTCGGCCTCTCACTTTTGCAATTTTCTCAATTTTCGAGTCGTCCTTTGAAGGGCAATCGAAGAGAAATTTGTTTGTAGGCGAGCGCGTGAAATTCGTCCTGCATCATGTCAAGTGAAATGAAATTAGCGCAAAGCTCAAGGCTCAAGAAGGTAGCACTTTTGCTAGCACCTCTTAGTACAGCGCACCGGTGGATTTGATCGTCGTGAATTTGTTAAAAGCTATAGTACGACGAATTCTAAAGTACAGTACAAGGGAAAGCTTTAAGACAAGTACAAGGGAAAGCTTTTAGACAAGTACAAGGGAAAGCTTTAAGACAAGTACAAGGGAAAGCTTTTAGAGCCACCGGCGACGATGGTGGTCGATTTTTGTGGATGGATTTTGGGGCACCCGATGGAGAACAGGTAGCTGTCAAACTGCAATTCGGCTGTAATTGGTCTTATAATTTATACCTTACTTTGCCTGGCTAGGCTTACTTGTTACAGAGCAATGTTAGGTTAAAAGGCAGGCTTTTTATGATCTTTTTACAGTACCCACGTACGTCTATTTATCCGTCTATTTATCCACTCTTTAGGAAATGGATCTCCACACGTCGGCAAAACCGATCGTTTTCATTTTGCACTCGTTTTTAGCGACAAAAGTCTATCGTTTAGGGTTGTACGCTTAATTATTTGCTTAATTCTTTGCTTAATTATTTACCTATCTTCTCTGTCTAAATCTTTTCTAATGCCTAAACAATGAACAATACCAAAACATTGCCATTTTTCTCTCTTTTCCGAATGGATAAGCTCATTGTATGTACTTTTTTGTGGATAAATTTGAAATAATTTATTTATATTTTAAAGTAATAAATTATAATCTATTTAGAGTAATTCAACAAAGTAAACAAATTCACAGAAAGAAGAGGGAAGATATTCACAGAAAGGGAAACTATTGCACAAAAGAGAAAAATTGAAAATAGGAATAAAAACAAGAATACCGTTTTTTTCTCTAATAGTAGTGCACCCCGGGTGAGCCGAGTTAGTGACTATTTACGGCTTCCAAAGTTTTCCCAGAAGCTCAACACTCTAAACATCGTAAAGATCTCTCAAGATCGTACTTTTGATTAGCAAAGATTTAGCTATGCGATTACGATAGCTTTAAAGAGCGCCGTTTAGAAAAGCGCAAAAGGAGCACAGTGAAACAGCAAACAGCTAGTAAAAAGTTATATAGTTAGATTCAAAATGGGTCTAACTTCAAGTTCTACAAGATCTACAAGTTCTACAAGATCTACAAGTTCTGCAAGATCTACAAGATCTACAAGTTCTACAAGTCCTACAAGTTCTACAAGTTCTACAAGTTTAAATAATTTCTAGAAACTAGCTTTCAAGTTATAACAAGTTTTAGACGAATTTAGAAAATAGAGGCAATTTCGATTTCTTCTAGTAAAAAGGTCGAGAAATCCTAGTAAATTTGGGAATCTAGTTTTGGCGAGGGTTTTGCGAAGAATTTACGTCTTTCCGATGATCCGATCGATGCTTTTGTCGACAAATTTTGTGATGTTTCGAGCGATAGGTTTTTGTCTTGAAGCGACGATCGCAGAAATCGCACTCGAAGGGAGTTTCGACTGAAAAGCGGTACCGTAACAATATTTGGGTTAAGATTAAACTGCTAGAAGTTTGTAGTTGCTAAATATGGCTTTTAGTTACTGTATGCCGTGGTATCGTTACAGTGTTCTGTAGGACTGTTACCGTACTGTTACAGTGGTCATAGTATTGATACAGTATGCTATAGTATCGTTACAGTATGCCGTAGTAGACATGGTTATTGGATCCGATCCGATAGGTCCGATGGATCCAGCTAGCTCGATCCGTTCGATAGGTCCGACCGATCCAGCTAGCTCATCCGATCCGCCCGACCGATCCAGTTAGCTCGATCCGATCCGACCTGGCCGATCTAATCTGACCGATCAGACTAGCTCGATCCGATCCGATCTGATAGGTCCGATCGTTCGAGCTAACTCGATCCGATCCGTCCGACCGATCCAGCTAGCTCGATCCGATCCGGCCAGCCGACCCAGCTAGCTCGATCCGATCCGGCCAGCCGATCAGACTACCTTAATCCGATTCGATCCGGCCGGCCGATCAGACTAGCTTGATCCGATCCGATAGATCCGATCGTTCGAGCTAACCCGATCCGATCTGTCCGCCCGATCCAGCTAGCTCGATCCGATCCGATCCGTCCGACCGATCCACCTAGCTCCGATCCAATTTGATTTTGCCAAAAAGCCTATACCGTAGTACTGTTACCATTTGCCGTAGGACCGGAGGCAGTATACCAAGATACCGTTAAAGTATACTCTAGTACTGCTACAGTAACCCGTCACTATTTGTTTTACTATTTACTTTACTATTTGACTAAACTTTGTGAAAAGACTCACCAGAATGCGTCAGCTCGTGTTTCCGGCGATTGCTGTTGTCAGCAAAAGTTCTCGTGCACAGCGAGCATTTAAACGGTTTCTAAAGTCAATCTTTTTTCTATATCTTCTTAAAGGGTTGGTATTGAATCTATGATATTTTATCGCTAAAATTTACCTCTCTCGTTGCTACATTGCTTTGCGACATCTGACTGAACGGCTCGGCTTTGATTTGAGCTCCGATCTTGATTTGAGCTGAAAGGGAACGTTGAAAAGATAGTTTTTCAAGAAGAGACTTTTTTTAAGAGACTGTTCACAGTTTTTATCACTTGTCAAAGCTGTTTTGCAAGAATTGTTTAAAACTAAGAAGCTTCTTCTTCTTCTTCTTCTTCTTCTTCTTCTTTTTCTTCTTCTTCTTCTTCTTCTCCTCCTCCTTCTTCTTCTTCTTCTTTCACTCCTTCTCCTCCTTCTCCATTCCTTTTTCTTACTCCTTCTCCGATCTCATCTACTTCCTTGCCTTCCTTACCATCCCTTCCCTTCTCCCTGGGAACTTTATTCATTCTTTACAAGCTATCATATTAACCAACCATTTGAAGTCGATGGGAAATTGGTGAGTATTCGAGGGAACAATTGAATGACATCAGATTTCTGTTCCTCGTCTCTCATTCGCATATATTGATGTACGCTTTCGTGACGGGGTTTTTCGATTGGCGGTGAATTGGGGACGGCTTGGGGTGGCGCTGGTTGAGGAAACTGTAAAGAAAAAAGCTATTGTAGCAGATAGATCATTTAATTCTTTGTGTACTTTGCGTTTAACATTGAGAAAAGATTCTTTTTGGTGCACTGAAGCATAAGATGATGGTCAAAAAGTGGGTCTAGTAGGTCAAAAAGAGTGGTTTTCTACTTTACAGCTCAAAGTATGATTGAAGAAGAATTTTAGTGGAGAAAAGTCTTCTAAAGTCTTTTAAAGAGTCTTTTAAATAGTCTTTTAAATAGTCTTCTATTTTCTAAAACTAACCATTGTCGGCCATTTGTCCATTGTCGGCAAAGCTATCGTCGGTTTTCTAGAAGCGATGAACATTGACATTAAAAAGTGAGCCTCGGGTGACATCGGTTGGACGAGTGACGAGAAAAGAGGTGAGTTGAAAGGGAAAGACATTTCGAGAAAAAGGATGAGTTAATGGCAAAATGAAACGGCAAGATAAGTATGGATCAATTGCTGAGGGATCAATTGCCCAATTGCTGAGGGATCAATTGCCCAATTGCTGAGGGATCAATTGCCCAATTGCTGAGGGATCAATTGCCCAATTGCGAGGGATCAATTGCTTGAAATCCATGCCGATGGGCACAAAAGTTTCCCTAAAAACCGGCTCTTTTCTTCGCCAAAAATCTGCTTCTTTTAAATAATTTCCAAAAGTTTCTTTTCTTTACTCAACAAGTAACTAAGTAAGTAACTAAGTAAACAAGTAACTAAGTAAGTAACTAAGTAAACAAGTAACTAAGTAACTCAACAAGTAGAACTAGATAATTCTTGGCTTTCAAATACAATTGTTAAATTGAGAGCTCTTTTATATCTCAAACACTTCAATGTTGAAAGCTCTGGTAATCAAAAGTGCTTCCAAGTCCACTTAAAAGCCCCGTTTGATCTATTCTAAAGTTCTAAACAATACAATAGCAAAATAATAACAAAAAGATTGACTTATTGATTGATTTCGTAATGAGTAATCGTCTAATCGTCTTAAAAAAATCGTCGAATCTAATCCCAAGCAAATCTAAAATTTTTCAACAAGAGAAAAGATCAAAATTTTTCATAAATTTACTTGATTTGATTTGTTGATTTTAGTGCAATGATAGAGTAAAGTCTATGCTCTTCGATCAGATAAGAATATCTTGGAGCTCTGAGAGCTCTTGGAGCTCTGAGAGCTGTTGGAGCTCTGAGAGCTCTTGGAGCTCTGAGAGCTCTGAGAAATGAACAGTGATCAGTCGATTTATTCTTGCACAGCTCCAATATTTTGTCAATTTCAACTTCAACCGGTTCGAGGCGGTCGCTTTTGATCAAAGATTTGTCTCCATCTTTAAACTTGTGAAACCATCCATCACAGGTAGCCTTGGAGAGGGAGAACAGAAGTGTATGTCATGACCATGACCATATACTTTTGTTATGTGGCCTAGGGCTAACTAGGGAACCTTCCCAAGTTACCCGCGAGTTACAATATAAGGTAGGTGCAAAACCTGAACGTGAACGTGAATTCTTTTCTTTTCTTTTCTGAACGTGAACGTGAATGTCCTGGCTCGAATGTGATCGTGAAGTTTTCCATTACGCTTTTAGATGATTGAAAGAAGTAAACATCCAATGGTTCAACCAGTCCTGTACACCCAGCTTAAACTCGCCTTGTCAATCATTAAATAACATTATCATTAAGATGGCGAAAGGAAAGCCTTTCCGCCGGCAAAAATCAGTGTGCCAGAAATTCGAGAAAAGCCTTCATTTTTTTCGAAATTCAAATGGCTGTAACTTTGTGCGTTTTGCCGATTAGCGGTTTTTGAAAACAGTTTCTGAACGTACATTTTCAGGCCTTTCTTTTTGCACCTACCTCATATTGGTAGGTTTTGCACCTACCTTTTAACTCGCGGGTAACTTGGGAAGGTTCCCTGGTAAGCTTGAAGATGAGCCTTTATCGAACTCATTGTCTGGACCTGCTTTGTTTGGACTTGCTCTTGTCTGAACTTGCTCTTGTCTGGACCTGCTTTGTTTGGACTTGCTGCTTGTCTGAACTTGCTGCTTGTCTGGACCTGCTTTGTTTGGACTTGCTGCTTGTCTGAACTTGCTGCTTGTCTGGACCTGCTTTGTTTGGACTTGCTGCTTGTCTGAACTTGCTGCTTGTCTGGACCTGCTTTGTTTGGACTTGCTGCTTGTCTGAACTTGCTGCTTGTCTGGACCTGCTTTGTTTGGACTTGCTGCTTGTCTGAACTTGCTGCTTGTCTGGACTTGCTGCAAACTTTAAGGAGAATTAGAGTGAAACGGCGAAATGTGCGTTATCGTTTTCGAGCTGTTTTGCAAGAAAAACTTTGGTTTTCACTTTAGTTTTCGAGAAAAGTTTTCATATAATCTTTATTAACATAAAAATCCTTATTAACAAATTCCTCAGTCTTTTTCTGAGTTCAAAAATATGATATACAAGATTAGGGAACTTGTGTTTACGTTAGAATGAATGGGATCCAAAGACAGCCTCGAATTCGCCTAATTATCATTTGTTTCGATGCGTTTAAATCAACAAGTGATTTAATGAACAAACGGAAAAAAATATTCTCTTCAAATTCAAAGGGAGAATCAAAAATGCAATAGAAATCTCTTGCCATTAGTATAAAAAAAGCATTTAAAAAGCATTGAAGAGGCTAGTTGCTCACGAAAACATAGAAATGTGTGAAAACAAGGGAATGAGCACAAAAAATTCAAACAAAATGCGCGATAGTGAAAACGTAGAGTTTTCTATGCTATTTTTTGTAAAAATATCCATTGCTATCCACGGAGTAGCCGTATCCCGGATAGAAATAGCCAGAATAGGAGTTAGTGCCTGTAAGTTGAGTTTTATGATGGAAGTTTTATCATTGCATGCATCAGTAAATGTTTTAACCGAAACTGACCATCGCACGTCACACACACGGCGCTCGATCCATCCGAAGCTGTATAGTACTAAAGATATGCTAATAGAAATAAAATGAAGCTTCGTTAGGGAAAAAAATTGATATAACTTCCAAACTATAAAAATACCAGTGCATCGAGCTCACTCACTAGCGCATCGAGCTCACCCACTAGCGCATTGAGCTCACTCACTAGCTGATCGAGCTCACTTACTAGCGCATCGAGCTCACTTACTAGCGCATCGAGCTCACTCACTAGCATCCAGCTCACTCACTAGCGGATCGAGCTCACTCACTAGCATCCAGCTCACTCACTAGCGCATCGAGCTCACTCACTAGCTGATCGAGCTCACTCACTACCGCATCGAGCTCACCCACTAGCATCCAGCTCACTCACTACCGCACGAGCTCACCACCAGCATCCAGCCACCACAGCATCCGCTCACCACTAGCGGATCGAGCTCACTCACTAGCATCCAGCTCACTCACTACCGCATCGAGCTCACTCACTAGCATCCAGCTCACTCACTAGCTGATCGAGCTCACTCACTAGCGTTCGAGCTTTCCACGCAATCTAAGTCCCGCCCCTTTTTGCCAATGGCTGCGCACAGACGAACAGGCGTCTCTTCTGCTTTATAGCAAATTAGGTACTACAGACAATAACTGCGTTTTTTGACGCTTTTATTAACTCTAGAAATTCTGACTTCTACGAAAAACTTGCCGCCTTCTGGGAAAAGTGCATTGATTGTAATGGATAACTCGATAGTAAATCGATTTTTTTTGTAGATAGCTTAGACTTTTTACTAACGCGACTTCACTATAGAGAGAAAACAGCAGCGAAATCTGGATTTGGCACCGCTCAACTCGATGATCGTAGGCTTAAAAGCTATGACAGAAAAATCTTTTTTGTTTTTAAACTAATGGCGAATTTGAAAAAGAAACAACACTAACCACAGAAGCGTTGACAGCAAGCATAAAGCACATCAGCAAGAGCAAAACTCTGAAAACATTTAAATCTTCTTGAAACTCTTGTTTTTTTGATTTGATCCTTTCAACAAAATTGCTAGCAGTCAATTCGAACACAAGAGAGCAGTGTTTTCGACCCGAAATCAGTTCTGTCTAGTTCTTATTGTCTTACTTTACTTACTCACCGCAACTTCATCTCCATAGATGTTATTCAAATGAGATAAAGTTAGAAAAGTCGAATATCGAGGAGGTTGAGACGATTTACATGGATTTTGTTGCGTTGCATTGCGTATTTATGTGAACCAAACATGACAGTCATGGAAAGACTGTCATGTTTGGTGTTTTTTCTCTTCAAACCTTTCATTTCTTTTCCTTTTACGTCTATGGCACTCTGGAGTTGAGCGGTAGTTGAGCTCCACTGGAAATAGAAAACAAACAGACGAGAGGTCACTCAAAGTTCAATATCCAACATCGGAATTTTTTTTTGGACGAAAAGAGTCACCATAGGCGTTCTGTTTCAATTTCACTACCGTAAATCTTCTATTGGGTTGGTGGGTATGAATTGGCATGTTTGAATGCCAGCGTTTGAATGCCAGCGTTTGAATGCCAGCGTTTGAATGCCAACATTTGAATGCCGTTTGACCGTTTGAAGTTTTATATAGCTCAGAACGGCTTGCTTGACTCATCACTAACTGGAAATTGTGTATATGCCATAAATTAGGAGTGCAATCAAAACGGTTTTCCTATTTTTAGTAATGGCGATCGATTTCTCAAAAGTCAACTCTTCACTTCAGCTTTTTCAATTGTAGTCCCGCCGAAATGCCAAGTTACCGCGAACGACTGAAGATTTAAGGAGATGACTGGAGATTTAAGTGAGTATAGAGAATATCTCTTTGTCAAGGGAAAGTCACGAAATCAAGATGGCCAATCGAAATGAGAACTAGACCATCCAATGCAGAATTTGACGCTGATTCCGAATGTATTGTTTGATGTATTGTTTAAACTTACGGTTTGGCGCCGTTGAATAAACTTATAAAAAGGAGCTTAAACGACTGCCCTTGGTGGTATTCGATTCGAATTTTGCTATTTGAATAAGCCCCGACCAAGGGGTTTAGGCTGTAAAGTAGATGGGAAAACACGTTCCAATACAAAGGCGAAACCAAAGCCTTGGCAATGGAAAGATGCAATGGCTAATGGCTAATTACGCAAAAAAGGTAGCATTTGTCCCACCCCCGCACTTTGCAATGAAAGTAAAAAGGCCTTGTTTTCTATTTAGCGCTTCAAATACCGTATGAAGGATAAGTTTTTTATTAACCCCTCCTTTTTTGGGGGGTGGGACAAATGCGACCTTTTTTTTGCTGGAAAAGGGCCTTAGGAAAGGTCGTAGAGCTTCAAAAATGTTTTCATAGGAGGGAATCGTATGCGTAGATTCCGAATTTCGACAAATCAGACCTCGCTGACACGTCAAATTTGGGCTAAAAGGCAAAAACTACGCAACTTATATCGATAGCCTTAACGCTTTTCCGCAGTTTTTGCCTTTTAGCCCAAATTTGACGTGTCAGCGAGGTCTGATTTGTCGAAATTCGGAATCTACGCATACGATTCCCTTATATGGAAGTATTTTCGAAATATTTTCGAAGCTCTACGGCCTTGCCTAAGGCCTTTTCCAGCAAAAAAGGTGCGCAAATGTCCAGGTGCGCAAAAAAAGGTCGCATTTGTCCCACCCTTCTTTTTTGCAGAGAAATTTTATCTCTTTTAGGACTTGGCTATCGATATTTCGGAGTGCTCGCGTTAAAATGGGCATATCTTTGTGACTGTAGCTCCAAATGCTCTGAAACTTTTACCAATGGTTTGTCCCCCCCAAACATCGGTTGGGGAGCACTTTTTTTTCTTCAAAACCACTTTTTTAGGGTTAGTTTTATGCGTAGCTTCCGAAAAACACAACGTGAGATTAGGAAAATGCGTTTTAAGCCAAGTTTCGGGGCTTCAATGTGCGCGCTCATAAAGTGTGTTGAGAGCAATACACCTAGGGAAGAGCTCTAAAAATGGTCTCTCAAAGCATTTTTGAAGCCAAAAACACTTCTTCTGGCATAATTTAACCTACTGATTACGTTTCTGATCAAATTGGAGCAAAATAAAAAAATTTTTTCCAAATTTCGACCGGCGTAGTACCAAAATTTTGCTGATTTTTGGGGGGGCAAATTAAAAAAGTACCACAGAGCTGTCTGGGCTTGATTGCCATGCTTTTCTTTCTTGCTCAAAGTTTCTTTGCCTAAATTATATTTATTTTTAGGTAGAAATGACAGCAAGACCGCTCGTCACCGTTTACAATGAGAAGAATGAAGCCACCGCCAGCCAAATCAAGCTTCCAGCCGTCTTCCGTGCTCCGATTCGACCCGATCTCGTCAGCTTCATCCATGATCAAATCAGCAAGAACAAACGTCAGGCCCGAGCTGTCTCCACCGAAGCAGGTATGGCTTTAGAATGTTTTGTTTGAAAGCCTTTTCAATCTGACATATGCTCTTTTTAACCCATATATCTTGTTGAAGTACCTGTTAGCGGTTAGCTGGGATTGAATTAGGGTTACTTGCTTAAGCAAATTATTTCTGTGTTATTTTAAGTAGAGAAGTCTAAAACGGATGCACTTTGAAAGTCAATGTTAAATCTTTTTGTAATCAAAGCTATTCTTCGAAAATGTCTAGTATTTGAGTTAAGACGGCAATTGACAATTTTATTGAATGACAACTTTAGGAAAGCAATCGTCTGCTGAATCGTGGGGAACTGGACGTGCCGTCGCTCGTATTCCTCGGGTCCGTGGTGGAGGAACGCATCGATCCGGTCAAGCAGCTTGTGGAAATATGTGTCGCGGAGGACACATGTTCGCGCCACTCAAGGTTTGGAGACGTTGGCACCGCCGAGTGAATGTTGCCCAAAAACGCTACGCTATCACATCAGCTATTGCTGCTTCCGGTGTTCCATCGCTTGTTCAAGCTCGAGGACATGTTGTCGACAACGTCGCTGAAATTCCATTCGTCGTCTCAGACAAGGTTGAAGGTTTCCGCAAGACCAAGGAGGCTGTGTCTTTCTTGCGCCGTTCTCATCTCTGGGCCGATGTTGAAAAGGTTTTTTATTTTTTTATTCTATTTTGTTCAATTTATTTTAGGTATACAACAGCAAACGTTACCGTGCCGGTGTTGGAAAAATGCGCAACCGTCGCTACAAGCAAAAGCTCGGGCCACTCATCATCTACGGCCAAGATTCAGCCATCGCTCGTGCTTTCCGCAACATCCCTGGAGTGGACGTGTTAAATGTTGAGCGCCTCAACCTGCTGAAAGTAGCTCCCGGAGGACACCTTGGACGTTTGATCATTTGGACCGAGTCAGCCTTCAAGAAATTGGACGCCATCTACGGAACTCCATCTACCCCATCTGAGCTCAAGAAAGGATTCGTTCTCCCTACAGCTAAGATGGCCAATCCTGATTTCTCAAGAATTATCCGTTCCGAGGAGGTTGTGAATGCCGTTCGCCGAGCCAGAAAAGTGAAATCGACACCAAAGGTATGAGTTTTAGCTCTAATTCAGGAATTAGATACTACGATTTGCTCTTTTAGACTTTATGTGGTGTAGTTTAAAATTTTTACTATTTTTACTACAGGATTTTAGTAATAGAACCAAAAGAAATTCTAATGACATCACTTCTAGCTAGTAATAGATAAAATAGCACAATGGTTCACGCATTTATTTTTTTATTTTCAGGTTCATCACAACCCATTGAAAAAGTTCAAGCTCATGGCCGCACTCAACCCATATGCAACTGTTCTACGAGACGCCGCTCACAAGAAGCAAAAAGTTTAAATACCATTTTTGTTGATAAATTTGTTGTGTTTTTAATGAATAAAGTACAAAAAACTGTATTAATAGAGATCTAGATCTACATCCGGATAAAGCGTATTTCAATTAGGTAGATATTACATAGTTTTGGTACTTGTGGGGTTGGGGGGCAGCTTTTTTTCTGTCACTGTAAAACTTTTTTCTGCAAAATGTCACTGTGAAATTCGTAATCTACGCAAAAAAAAATTGCCCTAGAAAACGCACTCTTGAAGAAAGAGAAGTTGCCTCCCAATCCCACAAGTACCATAGTCTTTGATAACAAGATTTTGATCTTTTATTAAGGCACTTCAACGCTGAAGTTAAGACACTTATACAACAGAATTATATGATTGATAGACATGATAGACAAGAAAATGTAGAAGAATGAATGATATATAACTTGCGGAAGAGTAGATATTTGGGGCAAAAGTTTGATATGTATTTGATACATTGTGAAGTTGTGAGAGCGATTTTAGGAAAGAATTGACGTTAAATAATCGCTAGAACAAAAGGAGCACATAAGATTTAAAGTATAGCATTCAGAAATTTTTATACAGCAAAAGAGATATGTACCAATTGGGAATTTACGGGCAGAATGAGAACTTGCGGAAGGGTGGTCACTGTACAAAAAGTGGTGATTTTGTTAGAAAATGGGGCTTAAATTTTGGTAAAACGTGTAACTTGCAAAATCTACAGTGGATAAGAATTTAACAATCGTAGCTTTTCAAAGAGTGAAGATGAAAAATGAAAAGCTTAAACTCGATTATCGATAATTTTGGTGTCAAATAAAATGAGCAATGATTGAAGTTGGATTTCAGAATGAGTCAGTGATTTTCGTTTTCTATTTGACACTAACTTGATGGATAAGGAAGTCCATTGAAACAATAGAAGACCTGACTAGAAGATGAAATTTGAATCTCTGCAATGGTGCGATTCTGAATTCTACACGGTCGTCGTAGATTTGGGAAATTTGAGCATAATCTTCTGACATTTCGACTCCTCGTGCTTGGAGAGATAACTCTTGAGGGCAAAGCGTTTCCCGCAACGATCACACTCGAACGGTTTCATTCCTGGAAAATTGCATGGATTATCATTATAGCTTTGCCTAATCATTACATCCAATAATTTTCATTCACTCACCGGAATGTGTCTGCTCGTGTGCTCTCTTGTTGCTCTTGTCGGCGAACGATTTTGAGCAATAGCCGCATTTGAACGGTTTCTCGCCAGCTGAAAGACGAGAATTGAAAGTTTTAAGCTGATTTTTGGTACTGTGGATCTTGTGGTTGTATTTAGAAATTCTTATCCATGTGACTAATGCTAGTTCGCCAGCAATGGTAAGCTCCACAACTTTCCAACCGATCTCAATTCCATTTTTTATAAAACTCACTATGTGTTCGAATATGTCCTTGCAGAAGCCATTGTCGCGAGAATTTCTTTCCGCAAATGGGGCACGGTGGGCAACTTCTCTGGAAATATGGATTTAAGTTTTGATTTCTTTCAGTACTTTCATTATTCAGTAAAACTAAAGTCTAATTAACTTTGAAATTCACTCACTGGAGACAAAACCTTCGACATTTTCGGTGAACTCTCTCGATGCGGAGATGAGGTGCTCGAGTTGGGCGATGATTGTTCACTCGCTGAAAACAAGTCTTAGTTCATATTGTAGACTTTTCAAAGCTACAAGCTGCTAATGCTATAGTAAAATTTTAGTACACAAATGCAATGAAAACTAAAGAATAAACCCGGATCTCTATTATTTTTAAAAATAAAACTAATCCCTAGAAAACTTTGGACTACAAACAAGATTTGGGCAATTGTTTTAGGACATTTTAATAGACTGTTAGAATACGCAATCCACCTAGACTCCGGTAGGTAATAGACATTCGAAAATTTCAAGCCGAACCAAATTCCACCTTCGTTTTCTCAGCCGTCTCTTGGCCAACTGCTCTGAAATTTTGTCTACAAGCAGAATGCCAATTTGTAGACAAAATTTCAAAAAAATCGGCCAAGAGACGTCGACGGCTGACAAAACGAAAGTGGAATTAAGTCCGGCTTGGAATTTTCTCATGTTTAGTAGACCTTTTTATCGGCATCTTTTTATAGTTATAGAAGATATAGTAGTGACAAGCAAGACAAGCAAACTCACATTTCGCCGTCGACGGTGAACAGGTGACAATCCGTGGGAAAACGGTGAGCACATCATTTGAAGTCGTTTCCTCTTTCTCCATTTTTGCCTCCTCTTTCATTTCAACTTTCACATGGCTTGTCGTCGGTTGACTGATGTGTTGGGATGGAGTGACGCCGACAAATGAATTCATTGGCAACATTGGCATCTGAATAACAGGAATTTATAGAAAGATTATGTTTTAGGCTTGCTTTTGCTACCAAAATTGAATTGATTAGAAATACTAGAATATTTAGTCATCTAAGATTTCTACTTGGCAAATTATTGACTTTCAGATGAAGCTGAACTCGTAAAACTATTAGATTGGCCGGGAAGTCTTGTCCGTTTCTTTAAAGGTTACTTTTTTACTACTTTTTTTGAAATAAATAATTAACCAACCGATCTATGGTTTATTTTATCAGAAAGTCCTATTATTTATTTACAAATTGTTCTTTCAGAAATTCTGAAAAGCACGAGTTAGTTAATTTTTTTAAAGGTTTAAAGTCGAGCAGTCAATGACGATGAAAGACAAAGCCAAAGTTCCGATTTGAGCACTTTTTGTCACAGAAACCTATTTTGGTGTAGAAAAAAAGATAGAGAATAAAAGTTCGGCAGATAGACAAATTTTCAAAAAATTTCACAAAGCCGTTTTTATTCTATGTCCATTGTCAAGATTTTAGTAACAAACAAGAATTCTTGTTCGGATTTGCTTCAAAGCGGACTTAAATTTGCGAAAAATGAGCCAAATGAAATAGTTAAAGCCTTTTATTTAAAGCAAACCACACGTTTATCGGTTAATTATTCATTTAGCTTATTCTTTATAAACCAAAATTTCAAAAAAGCGGACAAGACAAGCAAATACTATTTTAAAAGCTTCACAAACCATTTGCTGCATAAGTAGCACTTGTTGGCGATGCTGGAGAAATTGTTGGTAGAGAATTTGGGCGAATGGAGATTGAGGCGCGGTGATGGGTGACGGGAATTGGAGGAGAGGTGAGGGGAGAAACGGGAGCATCATGGGGAGACGATCCATCTGAAATTGAAAGAAATTGAAGTGAAAACGGTAAAAAAGCAAAGAGGGTAAAGAAGGTAAAGAAGGTAAAGAAGGTAAAGAAGGTAAAGAAGGTAAAGAAGGCCAAAAAAGGCAACTTTTAAACACGAATCGCAAAGTTAGCGTTGGTAAATCATGTTCTAAAGCGTGTCAACTTTCAAAAACAAAAAAAAGCCGTAATCTTGTCTCTAGTTTTACCTAGTCTATCTACTTTTTGTATCTTTCGAATTCTTTTTGAACAGAGACAGAAAAAAAGTCGATAAAAAAGACAAGATTACGGTAGTTTGGAGGAAAGAGGGGTTTTAGAAAATGGATTAGAGGGGGACAGTAACCCATTCCATTATCCCAACTTAGCGTTTCTAAATCGGGAATTAAAGCACAAACAGAATTAAAGTAAATAAAAAAAAGAAAGCATCTAGATAGATTGGATAAAAAATAGCAAAAGTTACGATAATTTTCGAAAGTTTACACGTTACTCGTTAAAACATTCAAAATTAGACTTAATATTTGACCTTTTGAGCCGAAAATGGAAAAAATCGAATCTAATCGAATAGTACCGAAAATTACCTGAATTAGGCATTCAAATATTTGTTTGGCTTAGAATTTGATCTATCTACTTTACTTGATTCTACTCTCATCTTTGGCACAGTTCTTTCTGTTCTTCTTTCTGTCCTTCTTTCTGTCCTTCTTCCTGTTCTTCTTTTCGTTCTTTGAGTGCTATTGTGCTTTTGGCTAATTCAAGTTTTTCATAAGAAATTCATAAGACATTTACAAGAATCCATTTACATTTACATTCATTTACAAGAAGAATTCAGTGTACCAGAGTGATGGTGTTTACAAAGCACAATAGCACTCAAAGAATAGAAAGAAGAACAGAAAGAAGAACAGAAAGAAGAACAGAAAGAAGAACAGAAAGAAGAATAGAAAGAAGAATAGAAAGAAGAACAGAAAGAAGAACAGAAAGAAGAACAGAAAGAACTGTTCCAAAGTATGAGATTAAAATCAAGTAAAGCAGATAGATCAAAGTCAAGTAAAGACTTTGATTTGAGAGTATCAGAAAAATTGTAACACTATCAAAAGTCTATAAGAATCAAATTATGTGATTAAAGAGAGCTAGACAAATGTTCAAATGTTTTTGAGTCAAGAATTTGTTCTACAAAAGCAGAATGAGATTGAAAGGGGGGAGGGGAGGCGTGGCTTGTGTTTCTACCCTCGGGGCATTTCCCTCATTGGTCCCCCTTTTGATCTAGATACTTGTCCTGAGAATCATAAAAAGAGAAAAAGGAATCGCCGAATGCGCAATGTTTTGATATTGTTGAATTGGAGCGAGAATTGGAACGTGGGAGTGTTTTAAGCACCTCTTAGGCAAGTGACAGATAATTGAATATCTTTAATAGACTGTGCTTTCCCTAAACCTGTCGTACCTTTTGCATTGAATGCAATACTTTTATAGTAAAAGACACAGTTCATTGGTCTAGTCAAGGACGAACCTTTAAGCCAGGTCAGGCTGGACTTTAAGCCAGGCCAGGCCTGAAGCAATAGCTTGAAGTAAAAGTAATAGTACAGTGAGTAGTACAACTCAATTGGTCTAGTCAAAAACGTGCTTTACTGGGTCAAAAGTTTTTGGTTACTTGGTTACTTGGGCCAGAAGCCAGGCAAAGCCAAAGCAAGCCAAAGCCAAAGCAAGCCAAAGTCAGGCAAAGCCAAAGCCAGGCAAAGCCAAAGCAAGCCAAAACCAAAGTAAGCCAAAGTCAGGCAAAGCCAAAGTCAGGCAAAGCCAAAGCAAGCCAAAGCCAGGCAAAGCCAAAGCAAGCCAAAACCAAAGCAAGCCAAAGCCAGGCAAAGCCAGGCAAAGCCAAAGCAAGCCAAAGCCAAAGCAAGCCAAAGTCAGGCAAAGCCAAAGCCAGGCAAAGCCAAAGCAAGCCAAAGCCAGGCAAAGCCAAAGCAAGCCAAAACCAAAGCAAGCCAAAGTCAGGCAAAGCCAGGCAAAGCCAAAGTCAGGCAAAGCCAAAGCAAGCCAAAGCCAAAGCAAGCCAAAGTCAGACCAAACCAAGCCTAGAGACAAGTCCAAGTCTGGCTTCTGGCTTCAGACTTCAGAAAAGTCTGACTTTTGGCTGATCTAGATACTTTTTGATCTAGATTTTGATCTAGATTTTGATTTCGATCTGATCTAAATCTGATCTATACCTGATCTAGATACTTTTGTGAACAAGGCTAACAATAAGACAAGTCAGACTAGAAGACAAGTCATGGCCTAGCCTGGAAAATGCGTTTAAAACCAGGTACGATAGTTTTTTAAGCGCATTTTTTAGAAACATTTAATTATATTAAAAGCTAATCATTGATTTTTTAAAATTTTACCTTACGGAGTTCGTTGTTTGGTCGGAAAAGAAGAGAATTTGTGATTTTTAACAAAATGGCTCTAATGATTTCACTCAAAACAACAAAACAACAACTTTTGTTTCTTCCTACAAATCTACTATTTCATTTTTAAGTCTCTTGAAGAGTTTTAAAATATGTTTGTCCTTTTTTATGTCCTTTTTTAAATGTCAAAACGGTTTCAATCGAAGTGAATCATTCAAAATCTCATTCAATTCAATATTCATTCAATAAAGTCAGTAATATGCTAATTGAGATATGCTAATTGAGATATGCTAACTGCTAATATGCTAACTGCTAATGCTAATTAATCTGCTAATTGAGAAAGCGGCTTATCTAATCGAATAGTATCGAAAATGACATGAGTTAGGCATTCAAATATAAGTTTGGCTTAGGTTTTAGCATAAAATGAAATCAGTTATGCCATTAAAAGTGCTCAACTTTCAACTAAAAAAATTCTCTCTTTCATTCTATCCTTTTTATTGGTTTTTTTATTGGTTTTCAAATTTAAAAGTTTTCAAAATTAAACTTTTAAAATTAAACTTTTAAAATATCAAGCAAGATAAGAAATCAATAAAATCAGGGAAAAGGGAAAATTGTCGAGAAATTATTGTGGCAGAAGGGAGTCGCGTGGACTGGAGAGTATCTGTCACTCGGTGAGAATTGTCCCCATCCAAATTCTCTTTCATTTAACACCCCCCGCCCGCCGTGACAATTATTTTTGAGCACTCGTTTATGAGAAATTATTGTAAAACTGGTAATCAATAAGAAGTCAAATGAAATTTGGATTGAAAGTGATTGAAATTTTCCAACGAAATAAGCTAATTCACTAGGTTTTTTGTCTAGTTGGTGGGAAATTTAAGAGCTTTAAGAGCTATTTTTGAATTGTTACGAGTAATCGATAAGTATTGGAGTGAAAATGACAAGAAAAATAGAATTAGAGCGGAAATCGGCATAACAAAGGAATAAAAGGGGCTTTCCCAGCGGGCTGTTAGCGCGACCCCGTGGTCTATTGGTTAGCGTCGCTGTTACCAGCCAAGCCAAGCCGTGGGTTCGACTCCGGTCTCGGATTTCCAAGTCGTATATAGTCGAATCGTTATTTGCACGCTGTATAGAATCGCTGTATAGAACCGTTAACCGATCTATATATAGCTAATATATAGGTCGGCCTGGTCTGTGAGCTAAACCAGGCGGGCAATATGATCTCGAATTGCCAATGGCATGAATGGCTAGAAACAAAAAGGGCTTTTCCAAAGGGGTGTTCGCGCTACCCCGTGGTCGGATCGCTATAACCTGCTATCGGTCGGTTTGGTCTGTAAGATCTGCCATAGACCATAACAAAGAAAAGGGGCTTTTCTGGAGGGACATTCGTTCACGATTGGTTTGTATTGGTTAACGTCGCTATTACCAAAAAGACGCGGCCTTGAATTTGCAAGCTGTCGGATCGGTATAACCTGCTGTAGGGTCCGGTTCCAGAGGTAGCTAGAAGACAAGGCCAGTTCCAGGACAAGGCCATTAAGACAAGGCCATTTATAACCTCGATCGGCGGGTCCGGTTCGATCCAAACTAGGCAAACTAGCCAGGTCCTGGAACTTTTTATGGACCAGAGGTAGTTGCAAGACAAGGCCAGTGCTTTTTGAGGCCATAGAAGCCAGACCAAGGACCTTGTCTTGTCTGGCTGCCCGTAAAAAAATATTCTCTAGCACAATAGGACCGAATGGCTGTATGACGATTATTTTTGGTGTTAACTCAAGCTTTTAAATGGCTTTTGTTTATTTTGCAGAAAATTAACTTTATAATCGTTTTCAAGAGGAGATTCAGGGCTATCGAATGAGCACAATAGTTTAATTTATTTTTGATTCAGTAAAACAGTTAGCGACTACGCGACTGTACGCGAAAATTACCCTGATCGAGCCGACTCGATTCCCCGTTCATTCCACCGGAGCCACACATGGTTGGGCGGGAATGAGTGGCTGTGTTACGACGTTGTGTTCCCCAGTCCTCCGATCTCATTCACTCATTTCCCCCCCGCCACTTCTTGTATTCCTATTTGTGAGTGGACCGTATGCGAGAGAGAGAAAACATCCCCCACTAAAAGCAATTAGTTTACACTCCCCATTTTAACCGCCATCTCTTTTCGCAAAAATCTTTTATGTGTTTCTGGAGACGCGATTTGTGGAGACGCAAAAAAAACTTTAAAAACAACAACCGCAGCTCGTAAATTTTGCGGAAATCATAATTTTTGAAGAAAAGAAATGAATTACGGTAGAGGTTTATGGATAGAATTATCGAACTCCTTCCTGAATAGGCCAAGCTAGTCGAGTACAAATCGATAGATGCGCCAAGTCTTTCTCTATCGATTGTTACAAAAATTATTGAAATTGGACAGCCCAACATCAAGATATTTGCACTCAAAGTAAGATTGCCAAAGACAGAAGGGGGGGGGCGCGTATAAAAGGCCGCCCTGCCCCTTCGCTATTAGCAATCTTTGAGCTCAAATTTTTTGGTGTTCAGCTGTTCAATTGAAATAGTTTTTGTACCAATCGACAGAGAAAGACTTGGCGCATCTAATGATATCAAGAATATTTAAATTGAACAGCCGA